ATAAAAAAGAGAGTAAAAATCAACTGGAAAAGACAGACAGAAGACAACAATACTTCATTGATCCTGCAGGGGATCAGCAAAAGAAAGTCTTTCTACTGGAATTTCAAGTGGTCTTAAGAATAAAACAATAAAATGTTTGATGAATAACAGTTTTACCTGAGAATAGCCCAGAGTTATCGATTGGTCCAGGGTACAGGCTACGTTCTCCAACATTGTACATATCCCAGCTGTCAAACCCCACATACTTCTTCCACTGTTTGAACCACCGGCTGTCTATTAGATACCTATAGCAAATTGATTAATAGTTAGTACATAATACCACAAACAACACAGAGCRTTATGCAACAACAAACTGCCTTAGTATCTGCAGATATAGAACCTGCAAGCCAGTCTTACCTAATCTCTTCTAAAGTAACTCCTTTCATAATAGGCTTGAAGTGACATGGTAACAACCATGTATTTAGTAAGAATAACAGCCTCCAAGATCACACACCAATGTCTTTTTCTTTAATACATGTTTAAATTTTGATCAGCTGTCCAACTTTGGAAAAGTCAGATAAGAGCAGTCTATTTTAAGGAGAACCTATGTGATCACATTAGCAGCCTAACTAGCACAGGGCTTTATCTTCTATAGTAAGACTACAAAATTATTAAATCCTGACRTTTTCAACAGTGATTATGTATTCGCTTTCCAAAACATTGCATGCGTTGTGTTCAGGTTTGAAAATGTGCTGCTTCAGAACGATCCTAAAAATGTCATATCTACCCACGAACCTTGCTCTACAGAGCCGGTCTAACTAGAAGAGGCACCATCATCTGACTACGAGGCCTACTAGCTAGCATATCAGCTAGCTCCTAACAACGATTCAGAATAGGCATTAAGGCTTAACAAAAACACTATGACTTTTTCAGGTTACTAGTCTACAGGTTTATAACCTAAATTAAAACATTCAGTAGTACAATGAACAAATTMTAACATAGATATTGTACAGTCGTATTTGTTAGCAACTAGCGTGCTAAACTGTGTAATGTTAGCTTGCCAGTAGCACCGCGGCTTTCAGTTTCAACTATCTGCTTCTTAGCTTTAGCATGCTAGCACTTCCTGTTCCGCGCTAGAGAGTCAAAGAACGTTGACTGCGTTGTCATTTCTTACCATTCGTCACCCTTTCTTAGACTTGCTTTCAAATGTGACCCAATAGTTTGTTTCTGATTTTCGGTTGAAGGGGTAGGCATTTGTGCGGCTACCGGCTCCGACTCAGAGTCTGCCGCGCTGCCCGACTCGGGTCCGCCTCCCTCAGCCATCATGCAGCCAGTGTGCCGGTAACGTGAACGAGCCGGAGCTGACGCACAAGAACGAGCTTCTTTGCGTTCATTTACGGCAGGGGCGGTTCTAGGATATGACCTTTTGGGGGTCCTCAAACCCCATTTACTTTAGGAATCCATGATTATCTTTATTTTACAGTTAAAATATATGTTTATCAAATAAAGTCTAATGTTACAACTAATCGGGACCCCTTTAACACAGTGATGACAGCAGATAAAACAATGAGTGAGGAAAATGTTGCTTTAATGCAAGTGATTCATCATCAAATTATTAAACAATATGACACATCACAAGTTTATCTAATATAGTRAAGCCCTGCTATTACAAATAATGTTATTTCTGGCCATTACTCTCACCTACACGTCTGAGCACTGAGCTAACATTTGAATAAACAACCTGAGAACAAAAACAATGTTAAATAAAAATGAGGAAGCTTTTCAGAATTCTCCCAAATTAAGGGAAATGCTGAGACTTCACAAAAGACAACTCTATTTTGCAGATTCAACATGATTCATGTACTGCAGACCCCTGTTCTAACCACTAACCCAGGCATGTTTGAAACCCAGGATAAAATGGGACAACAGTAAMCCAGAAGCTGGGTTCCTCAGATTATAAACAAAATACATTTGRTCATCTTAGGATATCAGGACAATAATGAAACATTCCGGCTTATATAATTGTTTCCTTTCTGAGGACATTCCAGTCAATGCAGCTAGCCACTCAAAATGTAGTAATGCATCATATATTAATATTGTATTGGAGTTTTCTGTAGTCTCTAATAAAAAAAAAACTGACTCTTGGTAATAAATTTACATATATTTAGAATATGTGAACATATCACTCACTGTCCCATGCTGATGGGATAGTAGTAATAGAGGAAACCTCTCATCTCAGCTAAAAACAAAACACTTGTTTGCACTTTGACGGTGTATAAAATGTGATGTACACTTTATAGGGCAAAACCAAATTTTAATGGAAAACTGACTAGACTGTAAAAACAATGCTACAAAATAAACCATTGTCTACATGAATGACAAAAWWTTTTTTGACACAAATGCAAATGTAACATTTGCTGGTCCCAGATCTGCTTAAACCTTTCAGAAACAGACACAAAATGRCTGATCTATGATCTACAATGAATAAATAGCATTAGTGTAACTTTATACACCATTTACACCCGTACAATATTTGTCTCATATGAAAATGGGAGAAGTTAGCATGAAATAAAAGAGGAATAAAAACAGTAGGTTGTCTTTCTAATACCGGTGCCTAGGAGCATCATGATTGCATACAGTAGCAAGACAATAATTCATCTCAGTGAGCAAAAASACATTTCAATTTCCCAAAATGTTATCTCAAAAGCAAAATAAGAAACCAAAGGTGTTTAGTTAGTAGACACAAAACAGTAGAGAAACCAGTGGGTCTCAATGTAAAATGTTTCATGAACAGGATGAGAAAGCTAAATGTACGTGAGAAGACAAGAAATTTGTAAACTTTGCATAACAAGAAGACTCTTGTCCCATCTTCATGGTTTTCAAAAACCAAATTTCTTGCAATAGACAGTGCTTTGAATGGAAGTATCCTAGAAATGACTGAGTGATCAGAAGATGCCACTGGGCAGCTCTTTGCTGAACATGCCATCAAAGTCCAGCTCTCTGCTCATCAGATCGTCCTCAACGCTCTCCAGCGCCCACTGGTGGTCGGTCAGTTCTAGTGCCTCCCACTCAGCCTAAAACGAAGACAAAGACGATATGAGAAACCCTAAAACCCCACCTTCCCCTGCAACTTACTCTGAACCTACACTAGCACATACTTTGAATGCTTTGTTTGTATCTGCAGGCATGGCCATGGCAGCTCCGCTCATCTGCTCTTGCATGATCCTCGACTGATCGGCGCCTGCGGGGGTCGAGTTGAACAGTGCCAACATTCAGCATGTGGAGTTGAGAAATAGGAAGCTAAATCACCACACRAAATGAACTTAAGTTAACAAAACTTACCATTATCTTGGCCTAAAATTAATGAGTACATGCTTCGGAGTCCAAAGACGTTCAGGAAATACCAGGAMGCTGAGCTCACCCTGGATGATAAACGCAAAGAAAACAAGACCAGTCAAAAGCTGGACACACTGGCTTAAAAACAACAACAATATGTGTGTACAACTCTTGTTTTATATGTTTACCAGGAAGCGTCCAGTGAGAGCAGCTCTATTCCTTGCTGTAGCATTGGCTTGAAGCGAAGCGTGAGAGGGAATGGTACCTTAGCTTAAAAAAACAAAACAGAAGTGATTTTTAAAACATAACTTAACATTAAGAGACTTTCTTAGAGCTGAAAATGATGATTACTTGTTACAAATCCTGAGAAGGTCCAGTTGATCCAACCGCCGATGAGGATCATGGGAAGCACATTGGTGACATTACCTTTCATCATGTCTGTTAACATGCTGGGATCTGTGAAAACACACAGCAAACAATGTATAWCATCACTACACAGCTGCTCCATTTGGGTGCATTTCACCTGTGAAGGATTAAATCCAGAGCACACTTTTCACCCTTGTATGGGAACACACAACCATGACAATACACAATGATGACAATACACAAAGACGTACCGTATTAAATGACTAAAGATCTTTATTTTTATTTTAAAGTGAGTATGTTTAATTGGTACATCCTGTCACCAACGACAGCAACATCACATGTTGTGCTTCACATAAAAATGTGTACCTGTCATGGGAGAGGGTGGCACAACCTTTCTTTTGGTCTTCTTAAAAAATCCATCCTCCTGATTATTGAAGTAGAACTTCCTCATCAAGAAGGACTAAAATACAGACAAAAAAGAATTAGCATTGTCCCACGTATTGTAGTCATGACAAAAATGAAAACAGATATTTAAATATTTATTATCAATCAGAGGAAGAAAAAAATCTAAGCAAGTACGTAGTTTGTTAAAGATTCCTCACTAGCTGTAGTTTTAGTTCAGCTCTCTTTCAGAAGTCTGTGTGTTTATTACATTTATTTCAAGGATTTCTGACTCTTGGTCATACTTGCATTCCATGGTAACTTTATAAATGAATATTTTCCACATGAAATGTTGAGAAATTACAAGAACTCTGCAATAAATTATAGGTTTAGAATGTTTCTAAAATTTCAACTTAACAGTAGCTAAACAATATATTTTTAGGATTTGCTACATCATCTTGACTTAGATTTTTTTTATTGTTTTTTTGGTAAAGGMTTTAGGTGCAGTGGTGTCCAAAGTCAGTCCTCAAGGGCTGGTGTCCTGCATGTTTTAGGAGCTGCCCTGGTTCAACACAGCTGAACCTAAGGTGTATTTAATTAGTAGGCTTCTTCAGTATGCCATCAAGGTCTGCAGAGACCTACTTGAGAACAGACTTTGGACACCACTGTTAAAAGAACAAGAAGATTTGGTTGAAAGTTACCAAAAGTGGAGGTTTTTTTTTTTTTTTTTGTTATTAATGAGAGTTAAATGAAATTGCCTACCTGTTTGGGAATGTATTTTCCATTTTCTCTCAGAATTCTGCTCCGAATAAGAACCTGGCTAGAATTAGGAGAAGGAGAAACAAATGCAGCATCAACTGCAACAGCATTGCTTAGCCGACATTTATTAAGAAATGTAGATAACTTACCTGTCAGAAACTTGCTCCAGAGTCAACTTTTTGTCACTCTGAAGAAGAATGGATACATAATGTCGAATCACCCCAACGAGAAAGGTGATGAAGACAATGGGTAACACCACCCAGAGCCTGATGTTGGAGTCTAACAAGAGCTCTGGCTCGGCCATTCTATCTGCTGGATAAAAATAAAAACAGAACAAATGAAGATTGGAATATTGTTTAATTTATTAAGGCACTCTTTTTTTTTTTTCGTCTCAAACATAAGCGTGTTAAATTGTGTAAGGTCTACTTTTTTCTAGGGCAAGGACGATAACAAAAGGTGAATGTCAATCAATGAATGTACTGTCATTTACTTTTGCTAGGAAGTCAACGTCGTTTAAAATAGACATCAATCTAAATACTAGTGTTACAAAATATAATCAGTACGTCACATTATAAACATAATGTGTTGAACTTCCATTAAACACACACATTTATGAATAAAACACCCGTAGATTAATTACGCTAAATGATAGCGCTATGCTAAGGTTAGCAATCTGGCTACCTTCTTCCTGATGTCACAGGACCCGTAAACAACCGAGTCGTCTCTTCGAGGCAACCGCCCCTTGCTGTGTTTTCCTCGGCTGCGAAAGGCGCAACACATTCAATGTAACAGCCAAATGGGTAAAATTACAAATATTCGGCCACTGCCATTTCGCTGCGATAGCTGTGAAAAGATGAGAGCAAATTTCTGCTTCTGCGTTTCAGCATTCACCCGCATCACCAGCGGTGGAGCTGCAGCGACCTCTAACGGCCGCAGAGGGAATTGCTGAAAACTGGATCAGTGAGTGAGTGAGTGAGTGAGTGAGTGAGTGAGTGAGTGAGTGAGTGAGTGAGTGAGTGAGTGAGT